CTCATTTAGTGAGAGAGACACGAGTAAATTGTACTCGTGTCGATGGGAATTGCCGAAACACATCACATGCGCTTACAAAAGAACCAAAGCGTCACCAAGACCCATACGAGCGACCAAGACCTTGCTTTGACGTATCGATAGTTGACAGTTGGCTATTTTCTGCACATGCCCCACACGCGGCTCTACGTTTCAGGAGTCGTGCTTGTTACCAGAAAAGGGGGCAAAAGGAGGCGGATATCATCGCCTAAATGTATTCACCTGATCTCCGATGGAGCAACCAAGTTTTTTCGCGAGTTTTTGGGGGCCGACAAATACCATGAAATACCAACCAGTACGAGCAAAAGTTTTATTCAAAGTCCGTAAGAGTTGAGGCCGCCGCCCAAGAAGGGAGTCGTAGGTAGGTTAAAAGTGCGTAGAGGTTTGGAGCTGGACGAGCTAATCGCAAACGTGCTTGGTGCGCATTGCTATAATATGTGAGTTGGTAGAGCTGCCGCCATATAGGGTGAGCTGGCGGTTTGGCAAGCGGTTTAAGATGGCGCTCTTGCTTGGCCTTGGTACAAAACCCAGCTTCACGCACTCCGCGAGAAACTATCCCTTTTGCCAATCACAGCGGCAAGGCTTCGACACGAGATGACCTTTTTAGCCAATCACCAGTGTCCATGCCATTTCTGCAAACCGGCCATTGTAGTGCAGCCGGCGAAGGCACGTGGTACGTGGCGAACCGAGCGCAGGCCTCAGGCCGAGGCGCTCACACACCATCGCGGCACCTTGTAGGCGTAGAGATAGACAATTCACCATATATTATGGACCGACAACTGACAGCAAGTTATGAACACGGCGACGAGAGTGCGATGGCTTAGTGCATGTCTTGCGTCAGCGGCACGTAGCCATCTTCCATCGAGATGATCGACGGCCCATCCTTCTTGGACACGGAGACGGCAACGATAGCCGCGACGGCACCCACCATGGCGACAGCAACCAAGAGCAGCGCCGCTTGGCCCCAGGCGCATCGTACACCGAGACAAGCTTATGCGCTGCCTTGGCCGAGCACTGGCGCGCCTTGTACGCAAACGCCGAGGCGTAGCCGTCACCGTAGTTTGCGTCCTCGTTGTTGTGGGGGCACGAGGCCTGGACACCGTTGCAAAGCGGCTCGTGTCGCAGAGGTCCTCGGCGACGTGGCACAACGTGTCCTTCGCAATGGTGTCGACGCACTTGCCGCTGCCGTCGCAGTAGTCGACGCCGTCGCACGCGTGGTCGGACGACTCTCCGATCGGCGTGCACTCGGTCGTTCGGGATGCAAACTTGTCTGGGGGCATTTGCCGTTGTAGCTTGTGCAATACTCGGGCACGTCGCAAATATCACGCGCTTGGCGGCAGACAACGTCGCTGCCGAGGAAGGTTTCGATGCAGCCTCCGTGCCCGTCACAGACATCGACGCCGTCGCACTTGCCGCCACTCGACTTGCCAATCTGCGTGCAGACCTTGCCAATGGGCGCGAACTCGTCGTCGGGACAGACGCCACATTCACCCGAGCAATACTCGGGCTCGTCGCAAAGGTCGACTTCCCGGCGGCAGAGATGTTTCGTGCCTTTAAAGTGGTCAATGCACTTGCCGTAGCCGTCGCAACGGTCAACGTCGTCGCACGCGCCGCCCGACGATTCGCCAATCGAGGTGCACTCGATTCCCTTGCGTGCAAGCTGTTGCTGGGGCAGTCGCCGCTGACGCCCGTGCACGTTTCTGCCTCGTCACAGACGTCGACGGCGCGGCGGCAAATGTGTCTGTTGGACTCATACTTGTCCACACAGCGACCACGGCCGTCGCAATAGTCGGGTGCGTCGCATGGGCCACCCGTGGACTTGCCCATCTTGGTGCACACTTTGGACGACGGCGCAAACTCGTCGTCCGGGCACTGGCTGTTGTCGCCACTGCAGTACTCAGCCGCGTCGCAGAGGTTGCGGGCCCTGCGACAGACGATGGTTTGGTCCTTGTAGCCGTTAAGACACGTGCCGTCGCCGTCGCAGTAGTCATTCTCGTCGGCATCGCACGGACCGCCGTTGTCGCAGCTCTGGCCCGGGCAGAGCGTACCGCGCGGCAGCTGCGTGTACGTGCACTTGCCATCCTCAAAGTCCAAGACCTCGCGACATGGAACTTCCGGGCACCCTTCTTCGCTGGCAATCGTCACCGTGTCAACATCAGCCGAGTCCTCCCGGTAGCGGTGGTTA